TGTTAAATTCCCTTTTTAGGGTTTAAATTGTTGCTATTATTTTCTTTGCCTACAAACTAAGGGTTTTCTTGTGGGCACTGTTTTTTGAGAAGTGTGTTTCTCTGTTCATCCCTTTGATTTGTTCGGGGAGGTGTTCATTTTTAATGAGATTCTAAGGAGATGTTTTCATCCTTTGATTTGTTCGGGGAGGCATTCATCTCTAGTGTGATTTCAGGGAGGTGTTCATCCTTTGTATGTTGGTGACAAAGGAGGTGTTTTTCATCCTTTGATTTGTTCAGAGGAGGTGTTCATCCCTATTGGGATTCTAGGGAGGTGTTCATCCTTAGTGAGTTTCTAAGGAGGTGATTATCTTTTTAATTAGTTTACTTTTTACTGGTTCCTCTGCTGAGTTGATTATAATTTGTAAACTAAATTTGAAAAATAGTGAATTGAGGTCACTCTTGTGATTAGAGTTGAGAACTTGATGTATGGTTGATTATACCTAAACCAATATAAATTCATGTATGTTTTTCTCTTCCTTATACCTTTGTGATAACATATACTTGTTTCCTTCCCTTTATCTCTCTCGATTATATCATTTCCGCTATATCTGTATTTTATCTTATAATTAAAATTGAATTAACAAATTAATTAACATTTTAAATTAAATAATTTTTTAATTTGATATCTAATATAATTTGTACATCTATTAATTCCTTTACATGCCTATAGATGTCATTTATCTAAAAGTTAATATATATAAATTATTTGAAACATCACATTGCTTCACGTGTAAATATACTCGTTAAAAGAAGGTTGTAATACAAAAAGTATATCACAGAAATTTACAAATAAATACATCCTGACAAACAAAGATATTGCAAATTCATGAAGAGTTAACCGATGCATAAAAAACAATATATATTAAAAATTCACATAAAGCAAATAGAAAATGAAAGTTGGTGGTGCAAATTCAAATTAAAAAAAAAAAACTTAGATTGCAGAATTACATATTATATTTAATGATTTTTTATATTTAATGATTTTTTATATTTAGATTTTTTTTTAATTAATTATTTTGAATTACATATTATATTTAATGATTTTTTATATTTAGATTTATTTAAATTAAGTTTTGATGGTTGTGATTTCACGTACCTTACTTCATGTCATGCTACTAGGGTTCTTATGTGTTCCAAGTTTCTTAATTTTTTTTACAAGGAACAAGTGGAGAAAATTTAGAGCTCCACGAAGCTTCCTTCTAAATCACAAAATTCAACTTTTATTCAATAAGTTACTTCAGAAAGAATGAATGTAATATAAGAGCACACATACACTTAGACATAAACCAAACAATAATGTCACACCAACCTATGTTAAATTCGTCATGTAATTTCTTAAAAAAAAAAATTCTATATATCCTAAAAAAAATGAAAAAAAATTATAATATTAAAAAAATTGATGAAAAAATAAAATTTAAAAGTTCCTTTTTACATTATGTTTTCATTGGTTTATCTATAATGTATAAATAAATAAAACTTAATTGTAAATATGGTTCTTCTATTTTATAAAATCTGTCATTTTAGTCTTCACATTATTATAATTTTTGTTTTTAAATTTTTTATTAAACCACATATTTAGTTTCTGAAATTTTTATAAAATTTTTATTTTTAATTTTCATTTATCTATATATATAATATCTTTGTTTTTTTAAAATTTAATTATTTGTGTTCTTTTATTGTAACACGATATATATCATGATTAAAAAAATATAATATTCATAAATTTTATATAAGATTAGAAATAGTCGTAAATAAAGAAATTTAATATAAAATTTAATTTAATAATAATTTTATATATTTTAAAACTAATAAATTAAGAATAATTAACACTTAAGAATCAAAATTATTTAAAAAGAGATTAAAAAATTACATTATAATTAATTTTAAAAGACTAAATTACAGGAATACAAAAATTATAAATGAAAAGTCCGAAATTTTATATAATATAAAAATTAAAATTAATTTTATGTTTTTTCCAATTTTAACTTATTAAAAAAAGTTATTATGACCATAACTTACAAAGCCCACTTATGAGTCAATCACAATTTCATGTCCCAACCACAAAAAGCCAACAACATCTGACAACCAAGTTGATAATCATTATACCACACACACACACACACACACACACATATATATATATATATATATATATATATATATATATATATATATATATATATATATATATATATATATATATAAAATTACAAGAATAATTTTATTAATTATATATAAATTATATTTTTTTCTTTAAATTATAATATATACAATTATAGATGAATATTATTAATAATTTTTTTATTATTTAAAAATAGCTTAATAAAATTTCATTTTATATTTTATCTTTACTTCTCTTAAATCAAATATAAAATATATTGTTTGATAAAGAAGAATAAAAAAATTAGAGAAAAAAATAATAATTAAATAGATAAAAATAACGTTAAAAATTTAGAATTTGTTAATTTTTTTCAAAAGATAATTGTTTTCAAAACTATTAGATTTTCAAATAAAATGAAAAAAAAAACAGGTAAACATTCAATTTTTATCTTTACTTGTTTATTTATTTATGTATTTTACGTTCTACCCCACAATTATTTCACTAGAACTAATTGTGTTACCATTCATTGGGACAGGGTAAATAACAAAGAAGACATATACCACAACGTGAGGAATAATCTTTTCTGTTAATTTTATAGTAAATTTAATCTTTAAAATTAGATAATTTTAATTAATTTTAAACATATCATTAAATTATATTTAGATATTGATTAAATTAAAATTTAATGATATATTAACAGTAGATAAAACAAAATACTTATTTTTAAAACCAAATGTACAATTAACATTTAAAACATGTTAAAATTGCAAGTTGGTAAAATTTATTAGAATAAAACGTGAAGACAATTTATTAATTTTAATTTCTCATATATCAACTACACAAACATCCTTGTAAGCTGCTTTCCATTGGAGTAATCTAAACAATATAAAGAGTGAGTTTGTATGTACTTTTTATTTTCTTTTAAAAAAATTTTATTTCATAACATAAGTATTTTTTTTTCTAATTTATTTATTTCAAATAAGCAAATTTTATATACTTTTTAAATAAATAACTTAAAAAAGTTGCTTATCTAAAAACACTTATTTTAGATTAAAAAATGTGGCAATTATTTCAGTGAATTTGTTATCAATGTATTTCGATTTTCAATTATTTTGTGAAGAGCATGTAGAGGATTAAAATTCTTAATTGCTTCTTTTGACATTATGATAAAAAAGGATGTGGCAAGTCAAAACCAAAAAGTTATGTCACCTCACAGTAGCGATCACGCCATTTATATCCCAACCTAACGATAAGGTGCGCATGTGCCAGCAACCACTCAGTCACGTGCGAACAACCAAATTCAAATGATTATCTGATTACTCTGTCCATATTTAATATTTAGTAATATTTCAAATGATTAAATATATATATATATATATATATATATATATATATATATAATCTTAAAAATCTGTTTATTAAGTTTTAAAATATAAGGACAAAAATTAAATTTTTAAACATATTTAAACTAAATAATTGTTTTTCAGTAAAAGATGTATTTTAGCTCGGGATAGATATAATGAAATCTTTTCCTGTAAACAAGCAAAAAAATCATTTTCAGAAAACAATATTTTTCGAAAATATTATTTAAAAAAAAATCAAACATGAAAAAACTACTCTCCAAATTCTAATTCCCCCAAAAATAAAAACTAATCATATTCTAAACACCCATAAATGAGAATTACAATAATTTTACTTAATTTAACGCATATAATTTTGGCCAAACAAAAATAATCTTCTACCACTTAATATAGTTCATATTATCTCTCTTAATTATCTTTCCTCAAGAAAAAAAAAAAATATATATATATATATATATATATATATATTATATGTCAATTTTAATTTTTTAAATATAATTTATATATCTTTTAATAAATTAACCTAATCATAAAATCAAATTATAAACATTTTTATTATCATAACTAAATTTTATAAAAAACAAAATCTTAATTATATTTGAGTTAAAAAAAAAAAAAATTTAACGAATGGCTTTCTTTTGAGATGTCGTACAAGCATGGTTACTTAGACAATTTAAGCAATGTTTGAATTTGAAGGCTTTCCGTACGACATGAATTTTCTAACCTTGCCACTGCATGTGGTCCCGCTTTAGATTGTATGTACGTGAACATATAAAGGTTACGATGATAAGTTAATATTAATTATTTTAGTTTAGTGTTAAAATCACTAAGTATGTATATTAACATAATTGAGTTCGTTATTACGTGTAATCAATTATGTACGAGTACATCACATTTATGTGTCAAAATTAATTTCGTGACATTGGGCTCTGTGCTGCACTTCATCGATCCGAAATGGTTGTTGCCACTTGCTGCATTACACAGATCGAGAGCGGTTATTATAAAGAGGTATTAGAAGGAGATATAACACACTTCCTTGCTCCCAGACTTTCTGCAATGCTCTAACCTTTCTGCTTCAAGGTCAGACCCTGCTTCAAATTTGCATGTTCTACTCTTCTATGTAGTCGATTCTTATGTTTAATTTTTGTTTCTTTTCAATTGTTAAATCTACGTGAAATGGAAATTGCAGTTTTCTCATTTTCTTTTCTTTCCAGTATGATTTCCCAGTTAAATCTCACCTCATTTCCGTTCTGTTTCTCACACATTCTAAGCATAACTCTGAATAGGAAAAATTACTCAATAGTTTTGTCTCCTCTGCCTCTCTACTGATATTTTTTAACCACACACTTCGTGTTGATTCACTTTATGTGTATTAGCATGCTTGAAATTATGATTAACGGTACAGGAATCTGTTAGGTTTCCTTTCTAATTATTCATGTTGAGACGATTTGTGAAACCTGACTCCTTCGGGGTTCGTTCAGCAGGTGATTCAGAGTCATGAATTCAATAATTGCAACTCGGAATAATGAAACAGCAAAAGGGGTTCCCGCTGAGGAAATTGTGGTTGTTGGGGAAGACATAATTAGCAAGTTGCATGAAAGCATTCTTGGTCACATTCTGTCTTTCCTTCCATCCATGGAGGCAGTTCACACTAGTGTGTTATCAAAAAGGTGGGTTGATGTTTGGAAATCCATCACAGGTCTTCAGTTCAATGATAGTCTCCACTGTTTTGGAAAGAATAAGATGAATAAACAAAATTTTGAGCGTTTTGTGAACTGGGTGCTTCTTCACCTTGCTAATTCAAGCATCAAAATTTTCTCTCTTTGTTTAACATGTTATCAATATGATTCAACCCTTGTAAGTACATGGATCTCCTCTATATTTGAAAGGGGAATAAAAAACCTTCATATTCAGTATTCTGATGAAGTCAACTTTCCTTCTCATTCCCTCTTCAGTTGCAGCTCTCTAGTACAATTGGTACTTCAAATGAAATGCACTCTTAGTGTTCCCATCTTTGCTTCTCTTCCAAATCTTAAAATCCTTAACATATCTGGGATCAAGTTAGTGAGTGAATCCTCCACTTATTCAGAAGATCTAATTCTTAACTTCCCAAATCTCAAAGTGCTTGAAGCTAGAGGATGTGAGTGGCTAACTATACAGAACATTACAATACAAGCCCCCCTACTTGAAAGGTTCTCCATAGCAATTTGGAGATCTCTATCAGATGAACCTTATAAATCTTCCATCACTGTTTTCGCTCCCTGTCTAACAGATTTCTCTTATGAGGGTGATCTTGAGCAGGATATCGTTCTGTTGAATTCCCTATCAATTCTTAGTGCATCTGTTGTGATTGTTGTTGATGAAGACAGAACGGACAGAATGGAAAAACTTGGGTATCAAGCACATAAACTTCTTGCACAAATCTGCGAAGTGCAACAATTGAAGCTATTGTTTTACAAGGTATGCTTTTATTTCATGCTATTATGTGAATTGGAAATTTTGCTGAGATATGTGGAATAGTTATATGCCTGTGTTTTGCATAACATGTTTTATGAATGGATAACTGAAAGTGCATGGAAATGCATATCAACTACAGAAAGTGGCACCCTCTATGCTGCAGACAAAAATATATGCATCATTAGTTTTTCCTTTTAATATTTTCTTAAAATTTGTAATTTAATCTCTGTAATTATGTATCACCAAATTATTTAAAAAAATGAAATTCTAAATTAGTTGTTCAATGATTTATGCACCACATTAATCCTCTAAACATTTTGTCACCAAATTTATTTTCAAAGACTTAATTTGCCACTAAAATAGTTTATTAAATATATAAGTTGTCATATTTTTCTTTATGAAGGATAAAAAGATGTAGAGAAAGATTCTTCAAGGTTTGATAGAGGAGAAGATGTAAAATGTCACTAAATTGATCTTATATAAGTATTGACAAAAAAATAGGAATTATTTGTGTAACAACTTGAACATGTGAGGGATTAATTTAGTGACAAGTTTTGAAAGGGTAACTTATATTAGGCTGAATTAAAAAATTTAGAGATGAAGTTTTATTTTAAAGAACAAAAGTTGTGACAAAAGGAATCAAGAAAGTAAAAGACAAAACTCACAAAGAGAGTTTAACAAAAATGTATATCAAGAAGAATGAAGGCTTTTGTAAAGATATCTACAAGTTGAGACTCTGACTTACAAAAATCCACTTCAAGCTTTTCTTGATTCACTTGATCCCACAAGAAATGAAAACGAGTTTCAATATGCTTGCTTTTACCATGACAGGTTGGATGTTTAGCTAAATTAATGGTAGATTTGTTATCTACCATAAGCCTCGTCCTTGACTTCAAATTAAACTTCAATTCAATCATCAATTTCTCCAATCATGCTGCTTGACATACTGCTTCAGACGTAGCTATATATTCCACTTCGCAAGATGAAAGAGCAACAACAGGCTCTTTTGTAGAACTCCAGCTGATTGGAGCTCCTTCAACAAAGAAAATGTAGCTAGATGTGTTTTTTCTATCACCTCTATCACCACACCTATCTGAGTCAGAAAAACCAACCAGCTTCATATCTTCATGGTCAGTGTTCCTCAAGCTTCCAACCATCTTTCTATAGACTGTGGGATCAACTCGTTCTTTAGCAGTATTTTGCTCAAGATGCAGACCAACTTCTAAGGGTGTGCCTGCAGGATTACTCTGTAGCATGTTAAATCTTTTGAGCAAATCATATGCGTATTTGGTCTAATGCATAACGACTCCAAAGTTGATTTGCACAAACTCAATACCCAAGAAGTAACTCAACCTCCCAAGATCACTCATTTCGAACTCAGATATCATCTGAGATTTGAATTGATTTATCAGTTCTTCACTACTTCCTGTCACGAGTAAGTCATTCACATACAAGCAGATTATTAGCTTTTTTTCTAGCTTGTTGTGCATCACAGTCTTGACATAAACTCCAAACTCATATATGCACTTTAGGAAGCCTACTTGACACAAGAATTCTCTTATTCCAAGCTCTTGGAGCTTGCTTTAGACCATACAAGGCCTTATTGAGTTTGTACACCTTGTGCTCATGCTTCTCGTTCTCGAATCCATGAGGACGCAAAACATATACATCTTCCTCAAGAAATCCATTTAAAAATGTTGATTTTATGTCCAGTTGATGCATGCTCCAACCTTCTTTATTTGCTATTGACACCACTAAACAAACTGTCTTAATGCGTGCCAAAGGAGCAAAAACTTCTCCATAATTCACCCCTTCTTGTTGCAAGTATTCCTTTACAACCAAGTGAGCTTTGTGTCTCACTATCTCACCTTTTGGATTTATTTTTGTCTTGTAAACCTACTTCAACTCAATTGGTTTCTTATCAGCTGACATATTTACTAACTTCCAAGTGTTGTTCTTCTTTATTGATCTGATTTCTTCCTCCATAACACTCCACCACCTTTTGTCTATCTTTGCTTCTTCAAACATGAGAGGTTTATCCTTCGCAACAAGAGAAAAATGCATCAAATTACCTTCTGTGGAGACCAAAGACTCATGTCTAAGATCATAATCCTGAAGATGTGTCGGTGGCTGCCTGAGACGAGATGAACGCCTTATCACCTCCTCTTGATCACTGCATTCATCCTCATTTGATCCTGACTCATCAACAAGTAACATTTTTTATTGTGCTTTAATAGGCACAAGCTTCTCCTAGCTCCATTCGGTTGTTTCATCAATAACAACATCTCTACTTATACTCACTTGCATAGAATTTGGATAAAAAAGCCTATAACCTCTAGTTGAATGATACCCTACTAGCACCTATGGTATACCTTTATCATCCAACTTCTGCCTCTGCTGATCAGGTACACGTTTCCAGCATAAAGACCCAAAATTTTTGAGAGGTGTTAAGCTTGGTTTTACACCTGTCCATGCTTCCTCAGGTGTCAACTCCTTCAATCTCTTAGTGGGACTCCTATTCATCACATAGGAAGCAGTGTTGGCAGCTTCACCCCATAGGTATTGAGGTAGATTTTTGCAGCGTAGGATGCATCGTACCATGTTCATCAAAATTCTATTTTTCCTTTCGGTACAACCATTATGTAGAGGCATATAAGGTGGTGTGACTTGATGTTCCAACCCTTCCTCCTCGCAGAATTTCATGAAGTCACTTGAGACATACTCTCCACCTCCATTTGTTCGTAGCACCTTCAGCCTCATTCCACTCTGCTTCTCAACAATTCTCTTGAACTTTCGAAAAACATCAAACACCTCACTTTTTCTTTTGATAGGATAAACCCAAGTTTACCTCGTGGCATCGTCAATGAAAGTACAGAAGTAGTTGTTACCTTCAGGTGTCTCAATTTGAATGGGACCACACACATTAGAATAAACAAGTCCCAACTTCTCACTAGTTTTCACAGACACTGCACTGTTGAAACTTAAACTAGTTTGCTTGCACGTCACACATTCCCTGCATACCTCTTTTGGAATACTGATCTTAGGAATTCCAGAAACAACTTGATTATTTTCTAGTTGATGTAAATCTCTGAAGTTTAAATGACAAAATCGTTGACGCCACACCCATTTCTCAAGAAGTTGTCCAAGACTCATCAAATTGGTCTTCAAACCAGGCACAAATAGCACATTCTCTACCACGATTTCTCTTCCATCAAGATCCGTCAATACAACTCTTCCAACTCCTTCTGTTGTCAGGCTACTATTATCAGCAAACCTAATTCTTCCATGTGATGATGGTTCTTGCATTTTCACAAACCAATCCTTTCTCCCGGTCATATGAGTTGAGCATCCTGAATCAAGATACCAGGAAGATTTGTCATTGATAACTGCATCAATTTGTGCCATCAACGTTACAGGTTCATAATTAGACATTTCTGTTGAATAATTGGCAAGCGCACCAATATTATAAATCGCAGTATAGTATTTCGATTAAATAAAAGTCGATCCCTCGAGGAACGGTTTCACTAGAAATTCTAAATCATAAGCTTAGTAAGTGGATTAAAACAAAATTGTTTTTTCATAAAGATTTAGGTTGAAAATAAATGGCACAGAACTGTAATATATTTTTAGAAAATATCAAATAAAAGAACTTAGGATTAATTTCATTCCTCTTTCCTCTTTTGTATAATGGCTAGGTCAAATTAAAAACATCAATTAACTTATCAATGTTGATGTCACTTACTTAAATCATTCATATTGATTCCTCGCACATGAAATTCATAAGAAAACCTAATAAACGTTGATTCCTCATACAATTAATAGATTTTCCAGCATTAGGTTTAAGGTGTTAAGCAATTGATACATCCATTACCATTCCTAGCAATTAACGTAGCAAATATTCTTAACCTGATCTAGGGTTTTAATATATATTTTCCAATACATCCCAAACATTAAATATAATTATTAAAGAACACAAAGGAGAAGAATATCAACATCAAGAATATAGATTAATATCTCAAAACATCACCAAGATACAAAAGAGTTCAAAGGAAGTGCACCCAATCCTAAGAGAATGAAGTTAGTCATTCATGATGGTTATTACAATGATCCAAATGAATAAGAATTGAAGATTGGACGAAAACTCGATCAGTTGTCGTGTCTTTCTTCTCAAAACCCTCAAAACTCCCATTCTCAAAACACATTTGATCTATTTATAGAAAACTTTTACGTCATTCGCTCAAGCGGATACTTTCGTTCAAGTGAGTGTTAATGATTTTTGCTCAAGAGAGAATTTGCTTGCTTGAGCGACTGACTTCCAGAGAGATTTAACGTATTTTCGCTCAAGTGAACGTCTACCTCGCTCGAGCGACTAACTTTCGGAGAAGTTTAACATATTATCGCTTAAGCGAGCATCTATCCCGCTCGAGTGAATCTTAGATTGAAAATCTTCTTCCTTTTTTCCAATTTTTCTTCCATTAACTTGAGAATTACGATCCTTGCTCTTGTACCCAGGTACTCTATAAATTCATCTTATATTGGGAGAAAAATATATTAAAATCAACATAATTTAAGTGGTTAAATACCAATTTAAAGTATAATTCCATCAACTTTTGCCACTTAACAACTCCCCCCAACCTAGAATCTTTCTTATCCCCAAGCAAAGTACTAATTCCTTCAAAAGAAAGATTTCACTGCCTATTGTCACTTTCTCTGTAAGAATTAATGGTTGAGTTCAAAAGGGGGAGTGAATTGAACTTTTGAAATCTTTTTCGAAAAACACTCTTTCTTTTGGAAGAATGATTAATCTTTATCCAATCTTTTATTAGACAGATTTGGTTTTAAACAAAGCAAGAATATAAGCAAGAATTGGAAAGAGATGAAAGCAGAAATTCAACACAAGAGTTTATACTGGTTCACTCTTTCCTAGAGCTACATCTAGTTCTTGACAAATCTGTCAAGTTCCACTAATTCCAAGTGAAAATACAAACCAGTAGATATACACCAATCTACCCCAAGAACTATCTTACAACACCACAAGATAGACTCTTGAATTAACCACCCAG